AGGACAAGAAGGTGGTTACTGGTTCTTGTGTTTGGAAAGGAATAAAATGTTCTGTGAAGGTAAGGAAGGGGTGAAGTTACTTTGCGATAGAACCAAATATTTAGCGCCTCTTCATTTTAAAGATTTTGAAGATGAATCCTTTGTTTTATTCTTCTTTGTTAGGGAGAGCTTTGATCTAATAGTGATTTGCATTTATGTTTCTGGGTGACATATATGGTTTGAACTTGGTTAGACATCTGGTTCGTCTCACTTGTATAATTTCCTTTATTAGTAAAATTTGTTTCTTATTAAATTAAACATTGGGTAGAGGAAAAATATTCAATTTGGTCTCAGGATGCAATGATAATTGGGTTTAGTAGTAGGACCACCGACTTCTGGTGGGGCAGCAAAGATTGGGCAGTGGTTTTAGGTGATCCAAGAATTTCCCCTCTCTTGGCTTGGGCTGATGTGATTTTGAGAAATGCAATTGACGATGGTTGGAGTTTTGAGTGGCTTGGGCTGCTGTGGTTTTGACAAATGCAATTGATTATGGTTGGAGTTTTGAACATCTAAGGTTGAGAAAAAGGGGTTGTGCAAATAATGGTTTGTGGTGGTGGAGAGGATTTTGATTCAGGCATGGCTGGTAATGGTAGTGGAAGTTGAGATTGAGATTGGGCTTGAGGATGGGAGCAATAATCATAGCCTTCTTATATGCGTATTTTACTTCTATCGCAGTTTATATGATTCATTTTACTAAAGTCATGAAGTGATCATTGTCAAGTAATTACTGCAAGAATCCCCTGTTTTTGGAGTTAGAACGCACATTTTGCAGTTATCCAAGGAAATATGTCATTCCCATACAGTCGTTGACATGGGTTAAACTGACAAGGTGATCATTGTATGAGAATCAGGTAGCCAGTCTTGTGTCTGGAAATTGCAAACAAGTCCTAGACAAAGTAGAGCTATGTCTCACTTACCATTTTGAAGAACAGAGATCCACTTCTGCTTTAGGGAGGTTGATGTGATGTGTTGTATGTTTCTTTTGATAGGTGTGGGAATATTTTGCCAATAAAGTTCCAGGGAGAGCTGCCCATGAACCTAAATAGTATATACATTTTTCATGAAGATGTGGTAGTGAAACATAACCAGACTACACAGACAAAATTTAATTGATAATTAAAGTTGTTTGCATTCTGTTTCTTTTTTCTTTTCTTTTCAAACTTAGAACTTTCATATTTTCATGCACAGGTCACAAGTATTACTACAATACAAAGACACATGTATCACAATGGAAACACCCTAACTCATCAGAGCAGGTTGCACTTGCATCTCAACATTTTGACAGCTTGGCTTCTCGAAATCCTGCTAATGTTTATTGGGATGGCCAATCAGCCGAGGTACAAGCAGAGAAGGATGAATCATCCAAAACAAAGAGATGCATGGGTTGCGGTGGATGGGGACTAGGCCTTGTTCAGATGTGGGGTTACTGCAATCATTGCACAAGGTAAGATGGCTCCCTTGTTCACAAGATACCTGTCAGGGTTCTGGAGAAACAAGCCCCATACCTGAGGGAGTGCTGGTGGAACTGATCCATAGTTAAATAACATGTGCCAAAAATGTTCTATACTTTCCCTCAAGCTAGGAAAGAGATGTCCACCAACCACTGGTTGATTCATGAATACTGAAGTAACAACAAACCAATGCAATTTTTTAAAAACATATACAACTTGGATTAATTTTATTAATAAGAAAAAGAGTTACAACAAAGGGAACAAGGTGTCTCCTAAAAACATAAAATACATCAACAAGAATAAATTATTGTTTTTAAAAAAAAAAAATTAACTAAAATACGTGGCTACAATCTGTCAATAAGAATTAGTATGAAAGACCAATTACTTAACGGAAACCCAAAAGGAGGCTCATAATCAAACTCTGTCCCCAAAATTATCCACCTTCTCACACCTTGCACCCTAAAAAATTCTCCTATTCCTCTCCATCCAACTATTTCCCACAAATCACATCTCCCCAACACCAATCGCCTCATCCTACCTCTAAATTAACCTTTTACATAATAAAATGCTACAAGAAGCTGGAATCTCCCTACTTAAATTGATCTCCCTAAACGTTCTTATCCACAAAGAATATAGAACCAGAAAATGGACCTTCAGCATCCTTTCTTCATATGACACACCACTAAGGAGATAGGCAAACTACAATAAGGTCTCCTCCTCTGCTCCATGTCACAAGTATTCATCCTCCCATTAGCAATAACTCAAGCTAAAGCCTGGGGCATAGGTGGTTCTTTATCCTTCAAAACTGCATGAGAGTGGATACTTCTCGCCAGCAAACCCTAGAGAGCAGAAGCTGGAAGATAAGTGGGTGAAGGGGTATGAGAGGCACTGGCAGCTAGAGAGAGGTGGAAGAGGGGCGGTTTCTAGAGATACTTTTTTCTTTTACATATTGAGGCTTTGATACCAAATTAAATTTGGCGTAAGTGGATTTGCATAGTAACATGTCTCAGTGTGGATTAAAAAACAAAAAGTACATTACCTTTCCCCAATGTGAGACCAAGTGTATTTACTTTACTGACCAAGTGTAAATGGCACGTGGTGAACGTATTTTGTGCTGAACTTCCAATTTTCTATAGAAGCATGTCATGTTTTACATGTTTAGTACTGAAATTTCGTGTGTCAGTGTTTATTATACGGTAAATCTACTTGTAATAAGTTGACAATGGCTTTAATAGACAAGAGTTTTAAAGCATTGCAGATACAAATCTCTCCTCTCTCTCTCTCTCTATCTCTCGCTCTCGGAGTTGTGGTTCTCAATATATACAAATTTGTGTGCATGGTTGCATTGATACTCGTTTTTCTGGATTCTTTTATACAAATTTATAAATAAACCCAATCCTAGACATGTATTTATAAAAAAACCCAAGCACTATTTAAACATAGAAACACACCCAAAATAAACCCCAAAGTCAACTTTTTGGGTGTGTTTATAAATAGGTTTTGAGTGTGTGTAATGATGGGTTTTGGGTGTGTTTATATATTTAAATAGTACTTGGGTTTTTTTATAATTTCAATCCCCATTTTGGGTGTTTTAGTAAAACTCCCATTATTTTATCACTTGCAGAGTTCTTCATCTTCCACAAAGCCAGTACTTGATGACGAGTATGCATAATAATCACCAGACTCCAGATCCTGTAGATATCAAAGGAGAATCCGACAGAAAGGCCCCCACACAGAGGTACCTGTCTTTCATGGAGCTAGGTTTTCTTAAGTAACTGCTTGCTTTTAACTACGAAGTCGTAAGTGTCCATAGAACCTTAAATGCAGTGAAGTTGTCTTGGACTGCCGTTATATGTAAGAGATGTGATTTTACTTTCGGTTTTTAGGTCCAATTGGAAACCTCCAATGGGAAAGGGAAATAAAAAGGAAAGTAAGAAACGTTCTTACTCTGAGGATGAGGAATTGGATCCTATGGACCCCAGCTCATATTCAGATGCTCCCCGTGGTGGCTGGTATGTTCCACAAACTTGATTGATCCATTTAGAGTGATGTTTTATTTTGTTTCCTCCTTTTAATATTTGTAAAATTTATCTGGTGCTTATTTTCAGGGTTGTAGGCCTTAAAGGAGTGCAGCCACGAGCTGCTGATACCACTGCCACAGTAAACTCAATACTTTTGCCTCAATAAATTTGTCTCATTATCTTGTTATAATGTGCCAGTAAATATATATGAACTTTAGCTCAATGGTTTACAAAGATAAAATAGGAAAAACGGAAAATTGTATATTGGCTTGGATATTTCATGAGTGATGCAACCTGGATGATACACCTCCATGCGTGGGAATATTGTCCATGTTTGTATATCTATTGATACTTGAAATTGTCAACAACATCAGAATGTGATGCTTCCTCTCTCTCCCAGTGATGCACATAAATATTTTCCTGTTGTATGTTGATTTTACCATTTGAAATGAACTGTATTTGAAAAGCTGTCATGCTTTAATTAGATGATGTTATGTTTCTGGTATATTTCAGGGTCCTCTCTTCCAACAGCGTCCTTACCCATCACCAGGTGCCGTCTTGAGAAAGAATGCTGAAGTTGCTTCACAGACCAAGAAATCAAGCTCACATTTTGCACCTATATCCAAAAGAGGGGACGGGAGTGATGGACTTGGTGATGCAGACTGAGAATTTTGAGCAATTTTGGTCTGTTTTGCATATCAGATTACAGGTGTATGTATGTATTCTTTTCGTTACTTTCTAATCAACTTTAAAGATATGGTTTTATCTAAAGCGCCAGATGACCCATTAATTTAACAATAATTTATGTAGCTGCTTGCTGCTGCCATACTAAGCTGGGTTGCATAACTAGACAATGACAAGCAGAGACCTTGGAGTAATGATGCCCATCTTTGAAGTCAAGTCAAGGGAAGACTGTCTTGTTGGGGTCGGAAAATGCTGCTTAATTGCAAGCCTGTATACATTCAAAGAAGAAAAAAGAACGTCACTGTATTCGTCTCTTCTATTCATCTCATAGTAGTACCAGTAGGGTTTTAAAGTTCAAAGGTCTTCCTGTGATCCCAATTAGAATGAATATGTAAAGCGATGGTTGAGAGCACTATCGTTATACATAATTGAAGCCGTTTTAATGTCATGAGGTTGAGGGCATTGAAATGGTCTAGTGTTAGCAGCATTGAGAATAATGCATGCAACTTTCCTTCAAGTTTTGGTAAATCTGTTTTGCCGTTAAATGTTACCCTGTAACATAGATACTGCAATGTATGCGGAATCTAGTGGATTTTTTATCTTGAATGTCGTTGAAATGGGTTCTTGTGCAACAAGCATGTTAGGATGGAGAATTTTTGTAAATCTCGCACCTGCTTTGTTCTGCTGTCTTATTCAATCTCTCTCCTTGAATGGGTACCGATGGTCGGCGAAAGGTTGAACATAAAATTCCCAGTGGTTGATGTTATTCAAATTTGTGCTACATCTTCTTTATAAATCCTTAAGCAAAAAAAAAAAAAATCCTCTTTATAAATGGCAGATTGAATGGGACAGTTTGAACACACAAAATGAAGTTCTAAAGGCTAACAGGTTAGATCATCGACAGATTGCAAATTCAAGGACATAATTGACTTCATATACAAGAGAAACTTGGGCAAATTTAGCCATTGTCCACTTTTCCTAAAGGCTAACAAGTTAGCTCCCCCGTTTGACATGGAGAAATGCAGTGGAATTTCTTCATTCTGATTTAGCCTTCTTGTCTACCTTTTCCTCTTTTAGTTGTGGAACTAGCACCCTAAATGTCCATATGGCCAGTAGAGTCGCCTCAATCGGGGCAAGCCAGTAGACAAGTATATGCTCCTTTGTTACATGGGCGCCACGAGCATAAGCCCATCCCATCACCTACATAAGTCAATGAGTTTAATACATTCAAGTTTCTAAATGATTAATGATTAATGATTAATTGTAGTAGGTACTTACAGAGGCTGGGTTCATGCAACCACCGGTCAGATCAGAGCCAAGAATATGAAGAGTTAACTTAGAAACACTTGAGATCCATGTCTTCATGAAGAAACTCCCTGGGATGTTTCTGGCAAGCCCAAGTGAGATAGTAACAATTGCAAATGTTAGCAATCCTTCTGTAAGTGCACCTCGATGGATATCAACATTCAGACGTGGCCCAAGACCTATTTCAGGAAAGAGCTGAATTATGAGCTTGACCCCAGCAATAGAGCCAATAACCTGAAGAGATAAGAGATATGAGAGAAATTAAGTTGTCATCACTGTAAAATATGGAATTAGGAAAATCATTTCAAGTAGTACCTCCCACAACAGATAATATGTTTAGAAACTGAAAGGCACATGGTTTTTGGCAAAGTTATTCACTTACCTCAAAAGTTGGAGCAGGAAGATAAAGCCTTATCATAGGTTACACGCAGTTACAGCTTAGTTCAACTGATATTTTCACTCAATGCTTGGGTTAACCTTCTTTATGAATTTATATTAGTACATGCAAGGGTTAACTAGGAAAAGGTACGTTATTCCATAATCAATGTCTATTCACTCAATCAACTCGTAATTACATAATCAAAGCTCAATTACAGGTTTATAACAATACTCTCCAACAAAACTAACACCAAGAGTGCAGGACATCACACCTGTAATTGAGCTTCAATATTTAAAAAATCCTTATCATAGTTTTCACGTAGGAACAGTATAGTCCAACTGGTATTTTCACCCCAACCTTGTTGGAAAACAAGAGAAACAATGGTTCCTCTGATTTTATTCTTCTTCATTTTGGATGAACTCTCAAATTTCCCTAGTTCTCTATGTTTTCCATATTGGTTCTATATAGACACAAGGCTTGGTTAGGAAAACATGTCTGATTCCATAATCTATGCCTAATCAGTTAATCAACTCTTAATTACGTAGTCAAAAGCTCAATTATAGCATTATAAGTAGTCAATTATTTCCATCTAAGCTAGTACCAACGAATGCATGATATTGAACCATACAACATGACTCCAAGAACTTGGAAAAAACAACTGCCACGGTAAAAGGTCACCAAAAGAGATCTGACAGCAATGTCACTGCACAAGAGAAGAGGCAGCTATCTGGTCTAAAACACCATGGGGTCTTTCAAGATCATTTTCTGAGGTCAAGCTCGTCACTTGACCAGCTCTAATCAAACCTCCAACCATATTCACTAGTCTATAACTATAAAAAGTCCTATTTCTCTCTTGATGCACAACACTCAAAAGAACAGTGGAACTCTAGCTTTTGCTTTGCTTCCCTTGTCAAAAGTCTTGTGCTTCTGTCCAAAACAACAGACATGTATGTAGCTGGAGTTATCCTACTCAGTTCAGCTTCCCTAAACAACCTCAAGAATAAGTTTAATGCCACAGGAGAACGAAGAAATAAGTGATCACAAGTGATATAACTTGCCGCAATTAATTATCCAAGCTAGTATCTGTACCTTAGGCTATATTTTATCATCGAAGAAGGCTAAAAACATGCAGTGGATTCCACTTTCCACCTACAATCTGTTCTAGATGCATGTGAACCAAATTGAGTTTGCAGCGGCAGACAACCCTAGGGAGACTGAAGAGAAGAGGACCCAAGCTTCTTCGTTTAGGTGCATCAATCAATTTTGCCCCTTTGCAGCTAGGAAGGGTGGTCTAAGGAAGAGTTCCCACGATCTCATAAAAAATGAAGTACAGAGAGCAGCAGGGGAAGGGTCAGAGCTGTCACCAGACAACCTCCTAGGACAGCAATCTTAAAACAAAGGAGGATTCTGGTAAGGGGAAGAAATGGGTAGCCATGGAAGAGTTGTAGGAGAAGTTATTAGGTCATCTTCTCCTTTTACCACAGCTCCATTTACTGAAGACCAAGGGGTGTGCAAGATAACTGCCCTTGGCAGTCTATATGCCTTCCTTAGATACCTTAGGGTTACAATCATTCAGGAAGAAGTTGTAGAAGTTACATAACGAGTAGACAAATGGGGGCTCGTTGCTTGTGTTTCATTTAGTTTCTTTCTCTCTTTAGCGCAAACTTTTTCTTTGCTTCCCGTTCTTCCCTCATCAACCTTCGTATTGTTGCATTCATAGATAAATGTGGTTCATCTTCTTCAACTATGTCTTAGGATGATGAACTATTTAGATCAAATCTATCCAATTTGAACAACATATCAACAGTTCACTTCTTTTCCAACTAATGTTTTCATTTTAGTGCCACTCTTCTTAAGAATTTCGTTCTCTCTCTTAAGGAAAAAATACAAACTACTTGTTTCATGGCATTAGTGTCATCTAGAACATCTATTCTAATTATTTACGCACAATATAATTCAGAAAGGATCACTTAATAGGGTATAATAAAGGAGCGGAGGCAGGGCATATTTAGAGACTTGTATGGAGTATCACCATAATAGGTCTGTTGTAATATATGTCGAGATTATCTAAATTCCAAAATCAACCGGAAAGCGACATAAATTGGCATTTCCCACACGGAAAACAATTCCTCAGTTAATTAAATCTGTTTGAAGATGTATAATTTCTATTTCACTAAAGCAGTCAAATAGAGAACACAAACAAGAACAACCAATATCTCAAATCGTTCAACCAAAAAAAAGGCACGTATAATTCAAAATTTTCAAACAACTCAAATTGTTCATGTATCACAGAAACTAGGAAACCAAGATAACCCAGAAACCGCTATTTAAAGCCAAATCAGATTTCAGCCACCCAAATTAGATTTTCCGCAACCAAAAAATGTAAAAATCAACTCTACATACAAAGATCAAAACCCAAGATTCATTCACTCTAAATTCTACCATTTCTCTCCTCAAGTTTTGTATCTAGCCAACCAAACAACCAAATAAGACAAGCCCATGAAAAGGGGGCTTTGGGTTACCTGAGCAGGGATTCTTGCAGCAACAGTGAAAAGAAAGCGGGTGAAATCCCCAGTGATTGCGGCAGCAAAAACAGTGAGAGGATTGTAAGTGCCACCATTGGTAATCTTTCCCAACAAGGCAAAGAAGAACATGTTTACAATTGACAGAGTGGATTTGATAATCTCACCGGTGGGTTCATGGCCAAACCCCAGATTGTTGTAAACATACATCTTAATCAAGACTCCTGACCAAACCCACATGAATGAGATTGTGAAATCTGATACAAGCAAACCAATCCTCCCCATTTTGCTCGCACACAAATCACCAACGCTTAAGCTTTGCACAGAAATGGTGGCTGGCTAGTGCCCAGGCTCTAGGGAATGCGGATGATGAATAAAATTCGTTTACTTTGTCCTTCCATGTTGACCAAAAATAGAATTGTTTTTTGTTGGGTCGGAAAAACGCAAAGAAAATGTTCTGTGAGAGGATATATATTTTTCAAACCCCGCCTGCTTAGGTAGGTGCGGGGACCATACCATACGAACTTTCTCTGTCTTTTCGTGTGTCTGTCGGATTGTAGGTCCTTTTTGTCGAATACAACCAGCCCACAACTCTTCAAAAATAGGGAAATTGGCGGCTTTGCCCCTGGCACAACTAATTTATTTAAGGGTGATTTTATTGGCACCCCATTAATTACTCTTTACACCCCATACTAATTTTAAATATAAATAACCTATTTTGCCCTTGTACACAATTACCGTTAAGGACAAAAAAATTTAAAATTAAAATTAAAATTGCTCACTACACCCCACATATGTTCCTGCAACCCTAGTTTGACTTTTTTCTCAAACTATCATGTTCCTAAACCCTAAACCCAAGATTTATAAGTTTATACTGGTGAAAAAATATATTGTATTTATTCATGAAGGGTGAGATTGAAGTTAGAGACGTTTCGAATGAGGTACGAGTTTATTTTTTGGCGTTTTGCAAGTTTAATATTTCATAACAGTCGCTGGTTGTGTTCAGCACATCAGTACCGAACGCGACAGATAATTTCGGTGGGATGCCACCGAAACTCTGCGCATTTTTTCGTTGGATTTCACCGGTGAGAAACTTAATATTCGGTGGGGAT